CTGGCCTCTAGGCACCTCGTGTGAACTTTTGAGCAATTTTCGTCAACTTTGATTTTTGGGTGAAAAACTGACTTTTTCGATGATGCCGGCTATGGAAAACGTTGAAGTTTTGGGGGCATTTTGTACAAAATCAAAAAGTTGTCTTTTCTCACTGGATACTGAATGTTATGAGTTGAACTCTTCAGGGAATTCAATTCTGGCCTCTAGGCACCTCGTGTGAACTTTTGAGCAATTTTCGTCAACTTTGATTTTTGGGTGAAAAACTGACTTTTTCGATGATGCCGGCTATGGAAAACGTTGAAATTTTGAGGGCATTTTGTAAAAAATCAAAAAGTTGTCTTTTCTCACTGGATACTGAATGTAATGAGTTGAACTCTTCAGGAAATTCACTTCTGGCCTCTAGGCACTTCGTGTGAACTTTTGAGCAATTTTCGTCAACTTTGATTTTTGGGTGAAAAACTGACTTTTTTTATGATGCCGGCTATGGAAAATGTTGAAGTTTTGGGGGCATTTTGTAAAAAATCAAAAAGTTGTCTTTTCTCACTGGATACTGAATGTAATGAGTTGAACTCTTCAGGGAATTCAAGTTGAAGTTTTGGGGGCATTTTGTACAAAATCAAAAAGTTGTCTTTTCTCACTGGATACTGAATGTAATGAGTTGAACTCTTCAGGGAATTCAATTCTGGCCTCTAGGCACCACGTGTGAACTTTTGAGCAATTTTCGTCAACTTTGATTTTTGGGTGAAAAACTGACTTTTTTTGTTGAACTCTTCAGGGAATTCACCTCTGTCCTCTAGGCACCTCGTGTGAACTTTTGAGCAATTTTCTTCAACTTTGATTTTTGGGTGAAAAACTGACTTTTTCGATGATGCCGGCTATGGAAAACGTTGAAGTTTTGGGGGCATTTTGTACAAAATCAAAAAGTTGTCTTTTCTCACTGGATACTGAATGTAATGAGTTGAACTCTTCAGGGAATTCAAGTTGAAGTTTTGGGGCATTTTGTACAAAATCAAAAAGTTGTCTTTTCTCACTGGATACTGAATGTAATGAGTTGAACTCTTCAGGGAATTCAATTCTGGCCTCTAGGCACCACGTGTGAACTTTTGAGCAATTTTCGTCAACTTTGATTTTTGGGTGAAAAACTGACTTTTTCGATGATGCCGGCTATGGAAAACGTTGAAGTTTTGGGGGCATTTTGTACAAAATCCAAAAGTTGTCTTTTCTCACTGGATACTGAATGTAATGAGTTGAACTCTTCTGGGAATTCAATTCTGGCCTCTAGGCACCTCGTGTGAACTTTTGAGCAATTTTCGTCAACTTTGATTTTTGGGTAAAAAACTGACTTTTTCAATGATGCCGGCTATGGAAAACGTTGAAGTTTTCAGGGTATTTTGTAAAAAATCAAAAAGTTGTCTTTTCTCACTGGATACTGTGTGTAAACTCTTCAGGGAATTCAACTCTGGCCTCTAGGCACCTCGTGTGATTTTTTGAGCAATTTTCGTCAACTTTGATTTTTGGGTGAAAAACTGACTTTTTCGATGATGCCCGCTATGGAAAACGTTGAAGTTTTGAGGGCATTTTGTAAAAGATCAAAAAGTTGTCTTTTCTCACTGGATACTGAATGTAATGAGTTGAACATCTTCAGGGAATTCAATTCTGGCCTCTAGGCACCTCGTGTGAACTTTTGAGCAATTTTCGTCAACTTTGATTTTTGGGTGAAAAACTGACTTTTTCGATGATGCCGGCTATGGAAAACGTTGAAGTTTTGGGGGCATTTTGTACAAAATCAAAAAGTTGTCTTTTCTCACTGGATACTGAATGTAATGAGTTGAACTCTTCAGGGAATTCAATTCTGGCCTCTAGGCACCTCGTGTGAACTTTTGAGCAATTTTCGTCAACTTTGATTTTTGGGTGAAAAACTGACTTTTTCGATGATGCCGGCTATGGAAAACGTTGAAATTTTGAGGGCATTTTGTAAAAAATCAAAAAGTTGTCTTTTCTCACTGGATACTGAATGTAATGAGTTGAACTCTTCAGGAAATTCACTTCTGGCCTCTAGGCACCTCGTGTGAACTTTTGAGCAATTTTCGTCAACTTTGATTTTTGGGTGAAAAACTGACTTTTTTTTACGATGCCGGCTATGGAAAATGTTGAAGTTTTGGGGGCATTTTGTAAAAAATCAAAAAGTTGTCTTTTCTCACTGGATACTGAATGTAATGAGTTGAACTCTTCAGGGAATTCACCTCTGTCCTCTAGGCACCTTGGTGAACTTTTGAGCAATTTTCTTCAACTTTGATTTTTGGGTGAAAAACTGACTTTTTCGATGATGCCGGCTATGGAAAACGTTGAAGTTTTGGGGGCATTTTGTACAAAATCAAAAAGTTGTCTTTTCTCACTGGATACTGAATGTAATGAGTTGAACTCTTCAGGGAATTCAAGTTGAAGTTTTGGGGGCATTTTGTACAAAATCAAAAAGTTGTCTTTTCTCACTGGATACTGAATGTAATGAGTTGAACTCTTCAGGGAATTCAATTCTGGCCTCTAGGCACCACGTGTGAACTTTTGAGCAATTTTCGTCAACTTTGATTTTTGGGTGAAAAACTGACTTTTTCGATGATGCCGGCTATGGAAAACGTTGAAGTTTTGGGGTCATTTTGTAAAAAATCCAAAAGTTGTCTTTTCTCACTGGATACTGAATGTAATGAGTTGAACTCTTCTGGGAATTCAATTCTGGCCTCTAGGCACCTCGTGTGATTTTTTGAGCAATTTTCGTCAACTTTGATTTTTGGGTGAAAAACTGACTTTTTTGATGATGCCGGCTATGGAAAACGTTGAGGTTTTGAGGGCATTTTGTAAAAAAATCAAAAAGTTGTCTTTTCTTACTGGATACTGAATGTAATGAGTTGAACTTTTCAGGGAATTCAATTCTGGCCTCTAGGCATCTCGTGTGAACTTTTGAGCAAATTTGGTCAAGTTGCATTTTTGGGTGAAAAAACTGACTTTTTCGATGATGCCAGCTATGGAAAACGTTGAAGTTTTGGGGGCATTTTGTAAAAAATCTAAAAGTTGTCTTTTCTCACTGGATACTGAATGTAATGAGTTGAACTCTTCAGAAAATTCAATTCTGGCCTCTAGGCACCTCGTGTGAACTTTTGAGCAATTTTCGTCAACTTTGATTTTTGGGTGAAAAACTGACTTTTTCGATGATGCCGGCTATGGAAAACGTTGAAGTTTTGGGGGCATTTTGTAAAAAAATCAAAAAGTTGTCTTTTCTCACTGGATACTGAATGTAATGAGTTGAACTCTTCAGAAAATTAATTCTGGCCTCTAGGCACCTCGTGTGAACTTTTGAGCAAATTTGGTCAAGTTGAATTTTTGGGTGAAAAACTGACTTTTTCAACGCGGCGCATGAATAAGATTCGAACAAGAATAGCAGTGTTGCAATTGAGCAATTGGAAGCAGTCCACTAGGTGATCGCTGCAGTGCTGCATTGCGCACTGCTATGTTATCGGCAACGTTCACCTCGCCATATTGTCACTGGTAGAAAGTTTTCGTTGTAAAGTCTGCATGCAGGTATGCCGTGGTCAGCAAATATGCCGCCAAAAGGGAAAACAGCTTGCCCCCAAAAAACACTGTCTTGTCATTTTGGGACAAAAAAAGCCACTGATACTGAGAGAGAGACTGACTTGACTTCATCTGCGCCATCAGATTTAACTGCAAGTGGTGGCTCTGACATGGTGGAATATACAACAAAACAACAAAAACCTATTAAAACAGCAAATACCTATTGCTCTGTTGGGCTATGACTTTGTGTTCGGTAAAGCGGTGTTCGGTATAGCGACTTCCAACTTTACTTTGGAAAACGTCAGGCCCCAAACTTTTAAACAAATTTTATATTTTCTGTAATTGCTGGTATTCAAACTTTCATGCCAATGTCTGAGCAATGTTGGGTAGTTCTGTTTTTTATAGTCTTTTGATAAGCTATAGAAATTTAACGATTTAACAAAATATGCATTAAACATAAGTATGCAAGTGAAATTATGTGGGTAAATTTTTCAAATTTTTTTTGGTGGACATTTGTTGAGACAAGAAAGTAATACAAGTAGTTCGCTTTGCCAATGTATATCAGTTACACATGTGCTGTAATAAAAATGTTGGTGAACCTACATGAACAACTTCAAGCCACTGTTACAGTTAAACAAATTCACTATTTTTGAGCTTAATGAAATAACGGCAAGTACATTATTGCTATTAATTTTGGGCCTGTTAAAAATTGCCCAAGCTGACTTGAGCACAAAATTTGCTTAAGCAAAAAATAAAGATTGCATTAATATATTCAGGTTACCGGCCAAAACACCATACGATACATACACGTACATTGCTTGTGACTGGTATTTAGCTGTTGTTAACTTCAATTGCATGGAGTTTTGGTGGGTAACCTGATTAAATCAGCAAGGGCTTTTTGTGCTTAAGCAAATTTTGTGCTTAAGCAGCTCTATGAAATTGGCTCCAGAGATTAGATGTAAAATTGATTTTTAAAAGTGGGAAAATTGTGCTGCATGTAGATGAAATTTGAATGTGACATTAAAAAAGTGTCCTAGATTGTGGGACCCAGCATACACATTGGTAACTTACTATTAGTTGATGGCTCAATCTGCTAACTGTAGTTTTCATCAATGTAAATTTTCTGCTAAAGGGTTCATAGTACATGAATGTTTCTCTAAGAGTTCCTTGAGGCTTTCTGGGTGCAAACTTGTAGGTAAAGTCATCAAGGCCAAATAAATGCACTCTTGAATGTTACAAAAAATAGTTTAAGCATGTACATAAACCTTTTAAACTTGCTTTGTTCAGGTATTGGCATGATTTATTCAGATATTGGCATGATTTGTTTTCAGGTCAAAAAGGTTTTGGGGATATTTTAATGTTGTCTTTCAGAATGGTGTATTTTAATGAATGAATCAATTGACTATTATTCTTTTATTACTTTGCTGTGACAACAGAGGAGTCACAGTCAAGAGAGGCACGACACCAGAACTGCAGGCGACCGGCTAGGGAAAGCCAGGAGATCTCCAGACAGGCTAGGAGATCGTGACAGAGACCGAGACCGTCGCGATGATAGAGACAGGGATAGAGGGAGAGAGAGCTCCAGAGGCGAACGGCACACCTCCAGGGATAGGGACCGAAGAAGGTCTCTGAGTTACTCGCAAAACAATGACAGGAGAAGGAGTCACGGTTCACCACCCCGGAGAACTAGGAGCCGCAGCCGAGAGAGGCGTGATCGAGGCCGAAGAAGCCCATCAGGGGAGCGAAGAGACAGGAGGAGGTCCAGCGACAGGAAGAGTCTGCCATCCCAGAGTCGGCATGGAGACAGCCCCGATAGGAAGAGAAGCCGCCCCGGTGAGGCCACTGGGAGGGTTGACTCAGCAGGGAGGAGCTCATCAAACTCGTCCAGCAGCCGACCCAACCAGGGAGTCAGGATGCCAGCCTGGTACCAACGCAAAAGGGATGCCATGTGGAACAAGAAGCCAACAACTGACAAACGGGATCACGAGAAACCCTCAGCGACTTCAGAGAAACCAAAGGAGCAGCAGCAAGAGGAAGAAAAGAAACCTGAAGAAACATCAACTCAGCCGGGTCCCTCGCAATCAATACCCTTATCAACTCGGCCCGGTCCCTCTCAACCAATACCCTTACTTGACATCATAATCCCTAGAAAGAGTGCTGTGGCCATGGCGACTACAGCACGAAGGCTTGCCCAACAATCTGCAGCAATGCAAAAGTTGGCAGATGCCAAAAAGTCGGCAGATGCCAAAAAGTCAGCAGATGCCAATGCAGCTAAGACCCCAAGTTCTGACCCTAAGGCCTCAGTGCCCAGCAGCGGTGATAAGACCAAGAAGAAGAAAGGAGAGAAAAAATTGACAGAAGAAGAGGCCAGCAAGGTCGCAGCGACTTTGAAGGCTACACCCCTCCTGCAGCAAATCGGAGAAAGCAGCATTCAGCATCAGGTAAGATCTCTCAGAAAGCATTTGTACACGCGGAATTATTGTTTAGTATATTTTGGTATTAAAAGTGCCATGACTGCATGTTTCTGTAATCTTTGAGGCGCTTGTGTAACATTCATTTTCTTCTTCTGATCTCTCTGTTTTATGATTTCTTCTTTTCCGAATATATCACTATCGTTCAACTTGCCATACATGTATATGCTGTAAACTGTCATCAACATAGTAAAATTATAGGTGTAAGATTTGTATGCAATGTTTTCAAAGGTTGCCATCAAGAGTAGCATTCAGTGTTCTTGGCCGTATTTGTGCAGGAAATCCTGTACTTTTATGGTATAAAATTAAGTGTTTTCTACAATTGTACTGTACAAGTACAGCATAATGCAAGCGGGTATTGAATCACAGCAACATATGCTCTCCGGTTGACGGCAGAATCCAGAGGACACTCTTTAAGTTTATGATGACCCTGGATTGTCAGGGGTCCATGACGGCATCCAGCGAGAGGGATGTCGAGAGACAGGGCAGATTTGGAGGTGTGCATAAATCACTTACACCGTGCACAACCAAATTGAAGGTTTTCAACACCACCCGTGCCTGAGTTCTCTTAAACTGGAGTGATTCATGGTTGACTTGCCATGATGACACTCTTGAGTCTGGCATCCCTTGACCAGAGGTCAATTGATGGGATGCCATTGTCCACAGTTAAGCAGTCGAGGATTCCCACCTTTCCACCATCAGGGATGCACGGCTGTGGCCTGCAGGGTACAATCCTTCATGTTTTCCTCAATGACTTCCTCTGCCTCTTTATCCCCTGCCTGAACAAGGAGAGCTAGCTGAAATGAGAATGTTACCCCAAGACACCCTCTGCCAGTGTCTTCCCCTCTCCACTACCTACTTGTACTACAGCATCCTCTAATGTGACCACATGACATGAAAATACCTGCCCACTCATTCTTAGGCCACGTCCTTTAACTATCTGATGCGAATCTGCCAGAAGATCCAACACGTGAATTTCAGGAACCCCTTTGACACTAGCAAGAATCCAACATGGCTTCTACATGGGTCTGGCACTCTACTTGGGTAAAATCCAACCGTGGTCTGGACCAGCCCTGGTCTGGACCAACCCTGGTCGGGACCCTGGTCTGGACCCTGGTCGGGACCAGGGTTGAGAGGTTCTACCTAGGTAGATATCTAAAATCTACTGCCGACCAATGTACACCCCGTTGTAAGTGTGAGAGGTACACTTTGCCAAGCCATGTTCTACGGGGTTCTGTTCTCTGTGGACCCTTGTTGATTTCAATATGGGTAAGGGACACAGGCGTTAGGACACCAGGTCACGTCACACTTGACAGAGGCATCTTGAAGACACTGCTGCAATAATTACTGGAAACAAAGTTAACAATATTTGGAGAAGTCGTGATTGATGTGTGTTGCCAGATTTTGACATTCATGCAAGGTCATCTTCTGTAGGGTTTGGTTGCAACTATGCGGCAGAGGGGATCATGTAATTAAGGGAATTCAATGTGTACAAGTGACACACGTCACTCGTCATTGAGAGAGTGCAAGTTCCAACCATAACTGATATTGATACAAATATGAGCTGTTTGAACCTCAGGACACTTCAGAATCTGCTAAAACGCTCACCAGTGTATAAAACACAAGAAACGGAGGGCAGCCAAAATGGAACGCCTAGTCATCAGATGGGAGGTGATATTCTCTCAACCACACTGGTTCAGTCATTATCACGAATGATCTGATATGGCTACCATGGAAGAGCTGGCCAAGTTTCAAATATGGCTCTGTCTGAAATGAAAATTGTTGTCTATGGCTGCGGCTATTCACCATGCATCCTCATGAAAAAATCCAAAGCCACAGACACCCAATAACTGATTCAGACATAGCCTCGCAATCTAATGAAACTGATTAGAGGCACTTAAAACCACTTTGCTAACTGCGTGCACAGAATAGATGAATTTGAAATAATATAATTATGAAGAATTTGATGATTGCGCAGGGAATGATGTCTTATCCAGTTTGAAGGATGCAGGTAGACTGTTTGGTTAACCTCGTGGATAGAGCATCTTGTGAACCCGCCAAGGTTGCTGTACATGTAGTCTGACTATCACCCGCTGTCCGATGGAGCCCTCTCCGTAACCAACGTCTGGTGTATGTGAGAAATGCAAACTTTATTTTTTGGAGTCAACTTTAGAAATTGTGGACTAAGATGTTGACTGGTCAATTAGGCGGCAAGGTTTTTGAAATACAACAGCGGGTACCCGATAGAAGCCGCCCACTGAATGGCAAGAATTTCAAGACTGGTCTGATATTGGCCAGCTTGTCGGATATTGGCCAGCTTGTCGATTGTCAGGTTGACCTACATGTATGATGTAAGGACCAACCTAATTTAAACATCTATCTATGCACATACCGGTACCAATAGGGTTCTGCGTTAAGCATGAGGTACCGGTATGAATGTGCAGAAGACGGCCGGTCAATCGTCAGTAACTTTTAATGTGGCAGATGTACTCAATGCTGAATGCAGATATCGCTGAAGTTTCAGGTGATAGAGAAATACACGTACAAAGCGTTCACAGCAGAGGAGGGACGAACCATGCAACCGAGTGGGAAGTGAAAAACCCAATGCTAAACATTGATACTCCACTATTGAATGCAGTCAACATTGTTGAACATATTAACAAGATGAAATTTGCGTCAGGGTGATGTAAATGCAACATTTGTATTTTGTAAACGCTGCGTACTCACTGTCTGAGTGCCCATGAGATAAAAATCACAACTACTCGGGCGGGACTCGAACCCATGACATGCTGCTCGCCAGTGCAGACGTCTTATTACTCGACCACTGAGCCCATCGGGGTCGGACAGCTGGTTCGACTCTGACGTAGCAGCAGACACAGCAACCAAACTACTCACAAGATTGGAATAGGCGTCGGGTTGATGTGAATACAATATTGGGTTTTGCCCGTCACTGACGTAAAACACTGCATACTCAGTGCCGTCCGGGCGCCCATGAGAGAGAAAAATCACAGCTACTCGGGCGAGACTCGAACCCACAACCTCCTGCTCACCAGTGTTGAACTTATTATTCAGCCAACATTCTCATATTATAGACAAGTACTCCTTCAGTGAAAGAGAGAACTGAAGGACGTTACAATGCTTTGCAGATGTGCAAGTGCTTGTGTACATGTACATGCATGTATGGCTTTATGATAGAGGACAGACACACTAAGGGAGAACAAAAGATCCTTTCAGTCCTCGAGCGTTGGGTCTTTTGTTGAAAACGGTCCTCGATCGTACGGTTATGTACTTAGTCTGTGGGAGAGTGTTATATTACAGGGACAAAGGAAATCACAAAGCATTGTCCTTTGGTGTATAGAAATTCACAGCGGTGTGCTCTTGTCTTGTGTGTTCTCATGCACAGATGTTGTAGGTCTTACTCCTGCGTATCTCAACAACGTTACCTCGTCTCCCTAAAGATTCCGACGTCATCCATCCACTTGCGATCCTACTCTAATCTACGCCTTCAACTGCCTCAAGGGCCCCATACCAAAACTGCTTACACTCGTTATGGTCAGCAGGTGTTTACAGTGGCTGCACCTACACTACGGAATAGGCTTCCCCCGCACACCAAGACTCTTCCTCGATAAACTCAATCAAAATTCGGTCAGAGAGTCGTTTCTTCACACAGCTGAGAGCACTTTGAAACACCTGTAGAAAGCACTGTACAGATTGTATTTATTATCATTGTGCACATACTCCACGAACACGTACAATAGGTACTCCGTGTACATTCAAACACTGGCTCTTGACTGGTGTACATGTACAGGCCATTCACCCTATAAACCACCCTGAATCCTTCCAAATCCTCTTTGCCAAAGTGGAGGAATTTGGAGGATTGAGGTTACATGGCAAAAGTGCATTACTGATTTCGTGGGATGCACTCTGTCAAGGTCTTGGGCTGGACCTTGTGTTGTTTTTGCTCAGCCATGCATAAAAATAGGCCTGGATTATGCTTGAAATCCTCCGTACTGCTCCAGGATGTCACTGGCCAAGCCTCAACATATTGACAGTCACTGCCGCAAGATTTTGCAGGATTCAGGCAGCGGTCACCCCTCCACAGACCATATTCAAGACGTAATGGAGGACATTTGCAGGATTGAGGCTATATGCCATTTTTCCGTGAGGCCAATTGGAGGATTTTGCAGAGAATTTAGCAAAACGGCCTAAGGAGTAAGGGGTGTATGCGTTATGTGTTAGCTTCTGTACAAACGCCTAATATGGCTGTCCGTGCAGCCTCATATTGTATGAGGATAACTGCCAGAAACACCGGGGCGAACCCCTTCTCTTAGCGATAAGTGTTTGCTGGGTTCTTTTACTTGCATTATACAACACACGGGACCTACAGCTTTACGTCCCATCCAAAGGACGATGCAATAATGGTTAAGTGCCTTGCTCAAGGGCACAAGTGTGCGGGCCCGGGCGTGAACCCATGCCACTGTTGCCTCTGAAACACCAGATTGTGAGTCAGGCCAGGTTAAGTGGAATCCACTGTTGCTGCACGGAGTGCATACCCTAGGCCTACCATCCAACCTATGTCTTACACCTGACTCCAAAATCCTTCTCCCTGCGCACACGAACACCAGTGTCTGCTTTCGCTGAAATTCTTTCATTTGATCTTGGGGATCCATATATCTTGTCTTCAATTATTCTCAACTCTGATTTCTTGTTTTCTTATAATTTCCCTCAAGTGTAATAATCTTCAATGTGTGTACATGTAAGACAACTTGTGTATTTATTTAGATTTTTCTTTGATTGAAGAATAAAATATTGATACAGATCATAAATATAACAGATATGTATGAACTTGTGAGCCATGTTGGATCCTGTATTTCTGTTTCCTTTAATTTCTTCCAACAAACCAAATACTAATTAATATTGTTCAATTTTTGATTACGTAATCCTGAAACTATTTTCTCTTCAAGTGAAAAGAGAGTATTTTTTCTCTTATGTTCCTTTGATTTGTGCACAATTGGCAGTCGCAGCAATTACATATATTTTGCTGCATTACTGATAACACATTTCCTCTTTTTTTCCTTGTCTTTTCAATTTTGCGTAAAGAAAATATGCATTTTTTTCAGAGTGATTTTTTAATAATGTGGCTTTTTTACTTGTCTTTTATCTTGAAGCTGTCACTCTTGAAAGAAGTCGATCTGGAGGAGCATGTCAAGGAAAAGCAAGTGGTGGACTGGTACTGCTACATATGTGGGAAGTACTGCACTGGATGGTCGGTATGTACAGTTTTGGTTTTCTTTTGCTGTAATGTTCACAAATGGATAGTTTTTGGGGTTAGTATTTTGTAGCAAATATCGTTACACTGACCTGATTATAGTTTTGTGTTTATGTATGCTGGAAAAACCAAGAACAAATGTGTTGTTCTTGTAGTTTGGTTCCCTGACCCTACTTCAGATGAAACAGAGCAATATATAGACGTCAGGGAGTGTCTGGTCAGGGAGCCAGAATAGCTGGCTTGCACCCGTTCACCGAATGTTTTACGGATTTGATACAAAACTTTTTCTTTCAAATGACAGCACACCAGGTGCCATGATTTCACAGGATGCTTGAGACTATTATACACTTATAGTAAAGTACTTAGGTATTTCATAACTTGGTTGTTTTGCTTTTTGAAGTTTGCAAATTTTGTATATTACCTTTCATTGAGACAATTGGCAATAAGATTGATACACACCGTGCACCCAAACAAGAGTCTTAGGCTATCTAATCCTCTTTCATCATCATTTGCCCCTGTGTATGGAAATCCCATTTTGTTACTCTGAACTTTTGTACTGTAAGTGGGTTTGAGACATGTAGGATGGTTCAAGTGCTTTACGATCAACTTTTTTTCAGTACATGTAGCTTAAATGAAATCCCTTGATTTAAAAACAACTGATATGATTCTCTCTCCGCCCCTCCTCCCTAGATTTACCTGTCTCACATCGAGGGACGCAGACACAAGGCCACCTTCCAGCGTCTCCACGAGCCCAGCCATGCCGCCCTCAGGAAGGCCCTCATCACCAAGCTGGGTGACCTGCCGGACAAAAACCAGGGTGGACAGAAGGAATTCCAGAACTGGGTGAATGCCCCTGTGCCTAGTTTTGCCATCCCGCCACCCGTGCAGTAAGTGACAACATCCTAAGTAAATAGTTCATTACCTCTTAGATGATCTCCGATAGCCTTTTTTTTTTAAGAAGACAGCGTAGTTTATGTTGTATTGGTTGAAGTCCTTGGCCACATGGCACATTTGGGTTTATGGCTTCTGACTAGCACCTGTTGAAGGACATTTCCAAATTAGGTTCTGCTCACATATGGGCTCCGTGCGCCAACAAAAAGAAGGTGCCTTTTTACCACTTTTGAGAGCCCCTTGGACAGGACACTGCGTGTGCATACTGTACTGATTCACTCGCAAAGTACTCGCGACTTATTTATCGTGAATGTGCACAAAGCTAAGCCATAGCACGGTGCGTTTGAATTTAACTTGCGATGGTCTCCCAGACTAATCCCCGCCCCCATAACTTTGGATCATTCGAAATACACAGTGGATGAGCCAGGGACCAGTCTAGGTCCTCCCAACTCTCCTTTTCTGGCCGTTGAAGGAGTACTTGTGCACGGGGCCCATAGGGGCGGATAGCTTAAATGCTAGAGCACTGGTACAGTGCAAGCTGCAGATTCCATTCCTGCTCCAGTCGATTTGAAAGTGGGTTTGGAATAAACTTGAAGTGTGACAATGAAATTCCTTCTCTCATGTTCATCCTCTGTTACTTGTGGTGATGGGAGAAATCAGCGATTTAAAAATCCGGTTATCCTAATTCCGATTTTACCAAAAGTTCCCATTCAGCCCACAGTCGCGCCAACAAAAAGTGACGAGTGTGGTGCTGCGTGCAATACTCTCCACGATGATTGGGTACAGTTTGCGAAATTTAGTGACCACCGGGCCTTTTACAAAAATATTCTGGAGCTGTCATATTGAGAAAAACAAAATTGGTGGGAACTCTCTGATCAGTTGTACGGGCAGGCTAGTACTCATGAACCAAGAAGAATGCTAGCGAGTGAATGCGGTAACAACCAGAGAGCATGGAGCAAATGGGGGTTGTCCCAGTTATTTTCTTTAGCCTGTGTCACAAAAAAAGGGAAAGTATGATTTTTGTATGGTTGGTGTCGAATATCCCGTTTCCATAACCGTATAGTGCAATTCAAACCAAATTTTAAAAATCCAGATTTTAATCCCACTACTACAGTGGAACACCGTTATAACGAACACCATGGGGCCCATAAAAATTGTTCATTGACAGTTGTCGTTCGTAATAGTGGTTGTGAGTTATAAAATAATTTACTATTTTAGGAGCCAAAGGGGATGTTCATTATAGCCAAATGTTTGTAATAGCGGTGTTCGTTATAGAGGTGTTTCACCGTAGATACTTGTGACCCGACTTATGATTTGACTTGTAATTGTCTTGTGATTTGCTTCTGAATAAGTTGTGCTTGACTTTTGTTGATTTGACTACAACCCTATGGATTATTGCAACATCCAGAGTGGTAGTTTAAGATTTTCAAATGAATCGTTCAGGGCCTCGAACATTAATCTGATTGGGGTTGCCGTTGGTTTAATTTCAGACCGCTTGTCACATCCACACCCCTCGGCCGTTTGGATCAGGCGTTCTTCTGCGGCAAATGCTTCCGTACCTACGCCTGCACCTACGAGGAGCACATGGCATCAGAGGACCACAAGGCAAGTCGCAATATTCTCTCACTGGCCACAAGTTGGTATGCCCTTTTACGCTAACCCTCCTCAATCCTACAAAATCAACCAGGCAGTTGATTGTGATTGTGGGAGGATTGTGAAGGATTGAGGTTTCATTTACCTTTACATGGTGGCAGTTGAATGATTTTGAAGGACTGAGGATGGATCCTCACAAATAAAGTACCGAAGTGAATACATCACGCACACCATTATGTGTGTAAAAGACATTAGAGTGTGATTCAGCCCGTGAACCAACACGCGCACGTACTCCATTCGTTTGCACTTCACTTCCCGGTTCAAAATGACGTCACACTTCAATACTGTATTGGGCCTAAGGTTGATTTTTCTGATAGACCAGTGCCAAGTAGGCATAGCCTGCGCTATCTGAAATAAATTTTTAAAACAGACAATTTAGAAAAGAACATTTTTTTTTATTAATTTGTTTTTTTGGTGAATGTCAATGCTTAAAATTTGGTTGGCTAATTTGAGTCAAAGTGTAGACATGTTGCAATTGTCTACTGTTTTGAAAGGGGAGTAATTAAGCTGTATTATGTAAACAGGTACACACCTACATGTAGTTGTAGTGGCTTATTGACAGACACCAAAAAATATGAATTTTTTTTTCTGAGACTTTGTTCAATTTTTACACATCCGTTTTATTATATGAAGATCTGATTTTCGTTTTTACTTTTGATCTTTTGTTATTTATTTCAGAGATATGTGAAAATTCGACCCAAGTGCACACTGTGTGACCTGACCTTCCTGAACGTGAAGTGCCTACGCGGTCATATGAAACTGCTGTCCCACATTCGGGTAAGTACGTGTCCTCATTCAAAGGCACAATGGATGAACATTTTCCAAATTCAATATAGCGCAGACCTCTATAATACATGTCTCCAAAGTTGCCAAGTTTGCTGACAAAGTACTTTTACTAACTAGCCGGTTCCAACGAGGCAAAAATTCAGCGAAATTCTGCTTACAGTCTGCTGAATTTATCATAGTTTGCACTTGAAAATCCGCTTTCAGGTGTGGAAAAGTTATACAAAAGATAAATAATAATGATTTCTTGTTTAATTTGTAGAAGGCTCAAGAGAGCGAATTGGATCCCAACGTGCCACAAGGAGAGGATGACTACAATGAGAAGGAGGTTGAAATGGAAGTAGAGGAGAGTATTGACGTTGAGGACGGGAAGGAGGTTGACAGTGACAAGAACTCGACCAAAGAGAAAGCCGATATCGTCGGTAGGCTCAATCTGTCATCACTAATGGGTCATCGCAAACAGAAACCTTAGCCAGATTTTTTTTGATGTATGAGATTTCCTATTAAACACTTGAATGAAGTCAGTACAGTCACAGTACATGTACTGGACTGGACAAATAATGAATGTTTATGAGAGCAATGGTAAGAATAATTTCATGAGGTGACAGAACCATGAGGCGAAGCCAAGTGGGATGGAACATGCTATTTGTCACTGAATGAAATCACTCTTTCCATTGAACGAATGTAAAACATGCATTGTAGTGGGGCAGATAGGGGGAAAATTGGGGGATTGTGCCTTTGATGATACAAGCATGGAATTTGGCACACAGAGTATGTCATGAGAAAGATATTTGGTTGTAGGGCCATCCAGATTTGTACTTTGAAGAAAGGTAGGTAGAATAACAAGCAATATTCACAATTTTCAAAATGACTGTCATTGCTTGTTAATCTACCTATATTTTTTTCAATGGACAAATCTGCGATGGCCCTATAGCCAAATATCTTTCTCATGACATACTCTGACTGTGTGCCAAATGACATGCTTGCATCATAAAAGGCACAATCCCATCCCCTCCCTATCTGCCATACTATTATATATTTTATACAATGCCTGAATAAATCCTCATCTTCTGATTGGTAACTAGTGTGACCGTGCAATGGAACTTCTATTTTTGCGGATCGGCCGGGTCATGGGTTAGGACGAATAACTCAATGACACATGATCAAAGACCCACCAATCAGATAACGAGGATTTATTCAGGCATTGTGTTAGGAGGAATATCAAAGTAATCCGTACATTCAGTCTTTCGAATAGATGTAGAGATCTGCCTGTGTGATATTGTCCTCATGACCTCAGCTGCACGGTGAAATCAATTTGAACACTCACTCTTTTTAACACATTTGCATCAGTGCATCTAGGTGTATTTGAGAACTTGAATCAGACGTCAGCCAAAGAAATATCGTTTCGAAGAAATAACATTTCATGAAAGCCTTCCCCTCATGTGGTCAGGTTTTTAGTAGAAAAACAAATCTATCAATTAACAACCCTTTATTGACTGAGAAAATTAACAAAACCTTAAATCTGTTAACAAAGTATAAAGTCTGTCACGAGCCAATGTGCATGGCCTATCCGTCCGGCATTTCTTTACGGTTTCATTGGCATGAAACGACTGAGAATGCTATTACCCCCGGGATTGGATGTCAGACCATCGCAAATTTAATCCCAGCTAATGCTGTTACCCGTTTATACTCCTGGGTGGAGAGAGGCAAGTGTGGGTGAAGTGGCTTGCCCAAGGACACAACACATGGTCAGCAGCTAGATTCGAACCTCTGACCCTCTGATCATGAACCTCGAACCCTAACCTCTAGGCCACACTCTCCCAAAATCTGTCAACTGGATGATATCTGTGTATAATTTAGAAATTAACATTCAACGTTTGTCATCTATTTTCCAGGGCCGGAGTTCATCATCCCCATCACAGGTTTCTTCTGTAAGCTCTGCTCCAAGTTCTACAACAAGGAGAAGGCAGCCAAGGCGGTTCATTGCCGGACGCCCGTCCACAAGCACAAAGTCAAGGTAAAAGAACTGCAGACCTTGATAATAATGATAGTCGATATTTATGAAGCCCATGTATCCACCAGGACTGGTGCTCAAGGTCCTACACCATTATTACCCCTGCTCAGTGGGCCCATGAAACATTCCAAATACCATCTCAGCTCCCTGGGGAGCATACAGCTCGATGCAGCCCGTTAGGCGCAAGGAAGCTAATTCAATCACAGTAACCATCTCTGCCCTCACAGGTACCCATTTACTCCTTGGTGGAGAGAAGCAATGAGTGGCAAAGTGCCTTGCCCAAGGGCACACACACCATAACCCCAGGCTGTACTTGAACCCACAACCTGCAGCTTTACCCACAGAACACAAATCCAATGCCCTTAACCACGAGGGCATAGCACTCCACTCCATAATGCTGTAGATACGAACCAAACTACATGATGAAAACACTATCTTGCCTACCAACAAGAACCAAGTGAGAGCATTTCTTCGTCAAGCCCTGTTCATTACTTGCATAGTAGTGCACCAGTACTGTCTACTTAAGCACTGGTGCATAATAGAAATGACAGAAAAGATAGATGAACCCTCCCATGCTAACATGCATTCTGAGCCATGCTGTTGGGTCAACATTGGTCAAGTGATCATTGGTGTGTTATAAGTATACCAGGGGAAGTGGAAGGAAACTTTGACTGTTGGTGACCTTTTAAACAGCAGGAGGTTAAAAAGTTAAACAACTTACAAGTTGAAGTATGTTTTACTGCTAGCTGCAGAGAAAGCTGTTTTTAATTATGTAAATGTCGATTTCCCCTCCTTTTATCCCCATGAGCCACCTTTTCATGCTTTCTGGTTTTCGTTACAGCACCTACATTTGATACCAAACAATTTTTTGCAATGAATATACAGTGGACATCGCTTTAAGTGGACATAGTGCAGGGTGTGAAAATTGATTTTTGACACTTCATAGAATTTGTAAAATGTGCCTCAGATACCTTCATTTTCTTAAAAAAAAAAAAAAAAAACCTGTTAAGCCACAAAAATGAAATATGTTTTTTTTTACCCTGCAGCTGTACTATGCCAAGCGCGTCAAGTCATCCGTGGCCAGCCTCAAGGCAAGTCCAGGGGCGCCGATCAGTGAGGATAAGGTGTCTACAACAGGGAAGACCAGCCAAGAGAGAGATGATGGAGCCAAAACACATGCTCCTGCTAACAAGGATGTCCCGGCCACGAAGGATCCCCCGTCTAAGAAAAATGCCACTCCTGTGAAAGATGCACCACCAAGGAAGGATGCTGCACCCAAGAAGGATGCTGCTTCCAAGAAGGATGCTGCGTCCAAGAAGGATGCCCCACCCAAGAAAGACGTGGCACCCCAGAAAGATGCCCCACCCCAGAAAGATGCCCCACCCAAGAAAGATGCCATGCCCAAGGAAACTACAGCCAAGGATGCCGCATCCAAGAAGGGTGCCCCGCCCAAAAACACCTTGCCAGCAAAGGATGCCACTCCAAGTAAGGCCACCACGACCAAACAAAGCATCACGACCAAACAAGGCACCACGCCCAAACAGAGCACCACACCCAAACAAAGCACCACACCCAAACATGGCACCACACCCAAACAAGGCACCACACTCAAACAAGGCACCTCACCCAAACAAGGCACCACACCCAAACAAGGCACCACACCCAAAGAGAAAATAACGGCCAAAGAGAAAACAACACCCAGTAATGATACCGGGTCCAAGAAGGATGCAATGACCATTAATTCTGAACGAGATGCATCTCATGTCTCTAGGAAAAATGACAGAACTGCTGACAGGACTCTGACACCGAGAGAGAAATCCTCAAATGACACAACATCCAAAGAAACACTTCCAAGACAGCCAATACCAAAACTTGTAATCTCCATTCCCAAGATGTCCTCATCAACAATTGCCGCCATGAACGGTACCAATTCCCAAACTTCAAAAGAAAGAGTTTCGAAGACGTCCACACCCATATCAGCCACGCCCAAATCAGCCACGCCCAAATCAGCCACATCCAAATCATCTTCATCGGAGATCAACAAGGAAGGTAGAAAAGCCGCTTTGACAAATTACGGAGACTCCAAATCCAAGACATCCTCTGGTTCAGATGCTGCAAAATCTGCCAATAAATCAAACCAAAAGAATGTCGCCAGCAAAACAGATACGCTTCAGTCACCAACATCCAAAGAGGAGAGGAAAGAGTCAGGCTCCCAGAAGAACAAACATGAGGAATCTGATCCGTTGGAGGAGGAAACCAGTTCGACCGCTGAGGAAGATGAAGAGGGTGAGTGGTTGGGGGAGATGCCGGATTTTGACAATATGATTTTCATTGATGAAGTCGGGGAATCAGAAGAAGAGGAGGTTACTGAGATAGAAGAGGATGAAGAGGTGTTTGTAATTTCAGATCAAGAAGAAAATTAAGTGTTAATAACTACGTGTAAAGTTACAGTGGGGTAGAACTTCCACTGTCTTTTTTCATTTTAATTTGTTCATATAGGGTTCATGCTTTAAAGCTACAGTCCATCATTTACAGCTATCCAAAAAGTAACTGACGTAATTATTGTTGAAAAGCATACTTGTTTTAAAGATAATAATGGGACTAAAGTCACTGTGAAATTATTTTTTCTTGCAAGCTGTCACTTTGAAGAAAACAATGAAAGGTCTTTCCAACTGTGGTGCGATCTGAGGCAATTTCTGACCACTTTAACCAAATTTTGAGGAACAGATGGTGCTGTAAGCAGTGCCTGCCTTTATTGCAACGTCACTTAAAAAAAATTGGTGAATTTTTTTTTTTTTGGAGGGGCGGGAGGCCCATGGCCCCCATTGCTGGGCCCCGCCCCCCTGGATCCGCCCTTGATCGTTTTGTTCCTATTCTCATCTTTTGATGGCAAGATCAAGGTTCGGTTTCATTTGCTCTACAACCAAGGATATTTTGGGTGTGGATTATACATGTATGTTAAAAATTGTAAATAAGAAAGGTCGTAGATAGAACTTTGTAAAAACTCCTCAATGACCACATAAAACTGGTTAAAGAAATGTTTGATGTAACATTGCCTTTTGCCAGAGGAATTTTTTTTTTTAAAGCTTGAAAAGTGTCAGTTTAAAAATTGTCAATTAAAAACATGCTTTTTATTTGCCTTTTATTTTTAATAAAAAAACGATGTTCAGTCATTGAACTGATGTTGAAATTTAATTCTCTCTTAAAGTTGACAAGCCACAAACCATGTTTTAGAAACGAAAACAAAAAAAATCACAACAGGATTCAATTTAGCTTGACAGGTTTCCTTTTTATTTCAAGGACAGCTTAATGCCCTCTTTTATTATCATTAATTGATTTATAACTTGGCAATTTTATTGCATTTATTTAATGAGAAATAGTCTTTTTTTAACAGTGAAATATAAATCTTACCGTTAACATTATTTAAACTGTGGCTTGATATACGCGTAATTAGCCGATCATGTAATTAACTGGAGTGGTCTTTCAGCAAAAACAAAAATATGTTTTAAAAATACCTGAGGAAAGAATGTAGTATCCAGATGCAGATTCTTTCGTTGTGTACAAGTCTATGGAGAGTCGAGTGCATTTTCAAAGCATTTTCAAACAAAATTGGAAGTGTTTCTCTGTCCCAGATTTATGTCTTTTCAGCAGTTTTGCAACGACCGACCTTCATTGAGATAATATATGACGAAAAAGTTCGCATCAGGATGCAACATTCTTTCCCAGCCTGAATACAACATTTGAATAGATATTTGGGAAACGGAACCTTTTAAGTCTAGCCAGTGTAAACTAAGCTCAAATGGACTATGTGATGATACAGAATATGCGGATACTGACTTTACAGAATCAAGCTGCACCTCAGGAAATATCTTTAAGAACAAATGCTTTGTACTTCTTTAATTTTAATCCGAGGAAATCTTGCGTGACCTGAATGTGCTATTCTTTCCAGTTTGATGCCAATAGTATTGTGCTCTGAAACAAAATTTTCAAAAAATTCATGGGGGAGTCAGGTTGGCATAGCGGTTCTTTCCTCGGCTTCCACTGCTGCGACCCGGGTTCGAATCCCGCCCGGGCCAATATGTGGATTGGGTTTTCAGTTCCTACCTGATTCCGTGGGTTTTCCTCAGAATATTCCTCTGGGCTTTTCCTCCCACCTCTAAAACTGCAAGTTCTTCTCATTGTCTTCTCTACAGGTTTCTTCAGGCTTTCGAGCTACAGTGCTTAGGGTACATTTGAGGAATCCTTGGTTTCATTACCAATAAAAATAAAAATAAAACAAATAAAAAATATCTCACCAGTTCCTCATTCAAACACAGCCAAATAACATGGTGAGTGCCCCTTTAGCCTGGGTTGAAATATCGACCCATGAAAATCCTAGCCAAACACCAGCCCTTCATGCATGGTGCAAACAAGTCACAGGTCCACTTCAGCTGATATTTACATTGGGTTCATAATTTAGTGAAACGCAAGGCATTGGAATAAGCCGCTGTGTGCATGGACACAAGATGGCACTTTGTTAATGATTTCGAGAGCCCCAGTGGGAGGGACAACCATGTGCACGTACCGGTTCTTGTGCATATGGCGAGGAGCATACAATGTACACAACTTATTTTATTCTAAATGTTCATAAACCCATAGTATCATTACAAGAACGTCATGCGTCGTCAACAATGCATTTGAATGTCCCTCCCAGTGGTCTCCCCCAACTCGCCCTTTCTAACCGTTGAAGGGGTACAAAGGACACATAGTACATAGCAGTGTTAAATATTTTTCAGATTTGGGATGGTACTTGGTGAACATACCTGTATATACTAGAAAATTACAGTTACTGTTTGCATGTACATATTGTTCATTGCAGTTAAAATAAATTGCGCAACTCTGAAAGTGTGTTGTTTCAATAAAACAGTTGGCAGATGAGTATTACAGATAGAGTACCTGTTTTAGTTTCATGTAATTTCTTAATTTTGCTTTACCGCTGAACTGTTTGCTTTTAATTTCAAACAGCATAAATATGCTGAGCAGTAGAGTTGACAATGCCTAATATAAATCAGGGTAACAAATTCCAGTTTTAACCAAAAAGTGATGGAGAAGTACTGAATAGAAGTTTCATTTTGCTTATGAACAACCTCGCAACCAACAAACTGAAATACGTGTTCATTTCTTCCTTTAGCATTATGTACAGTATCTTTAATGTCTCATTCTGGCACAAGTGGCTTGATTATAGCAAGTCATTTCAGGTGATAGGCATAAAGTTGAGACGACAGAAATTATTACATAGCCTCTTAAATTTACAGTACATGATTTTCAAGGCTATGTATTTTTAAATGAAGGGGCTACAAATTAATGTGTGGTGAAGTTATGCGTGCCAATAAGTTTCAATACAGCAGTCTAACTACGCACAAGAGTTAACAGTTTTGGATTTCAGATAATTATATGGAAGACAAGGTAAGAAGTGGGTGTGGTCAGCCGGTCTGAGACCCTCTCATTTACAGTGGCAAAACTAGCGCATCATGTGCCACGCCCTCTTGATAGGGGAGGGCTGCACCTTTCAGTTCCCACAACACAACACACCATACCTTCACTGTACATTTATGGTCTGGCGGCTTTAAAAGTGTCCATGCACAAGTGTTGGTCATAATCTAAAGAAAATAGGTCCACGGAGAGCTCAAACGAATCAGAGTTCACCAGAACCTTTGGGTAGGGTAGTAAGATTGAAAATCCCAATTCAAAACCTGGGCATGGCTTGCCCATCCCTTTCTATCTGACAGATGGGCCATTATTGGTCACAAAACATAAATGTCGACATGATGTACACAAGTGCAGGACAGTCGCTCTCATCCTTTTTCTACACCAGCATACATGTTATTTCAAGCATAGACTTCCAGGTAACTTCTGATGGCCTGTCGACAGAGTGGACACTTCCTTGCCTTTCGCCATGGCTGGCCTGTTATCTCCTTTACACACTCCAGACAGATGCAGAGATGCTTGCAGGGCATGATCACAATGTTCTTGACGTTGTCCTGACAGACCACGCACAACTGACGATCACGCTCCGCCTCCAGTTGCCTCGCAAGATAATCGGCGGTGGTGTTGGACTTTGGAACAGGTAAGTTGGGTGAGTGGGGAGGCGGTGAGCTAATGCTTTTAGGAGTGACCTGCCTCTGGTTCTGCTCTCCAGATGAGCCCAGACGATGGGCTGCTGAACTGCTTGCTGATGCTAGTGGGGCATGTGGAGTCTTCATTGGTGGCGGCGGGCGGGGATGCATTGGAGGCACCTGCAGCTGTTGTCCACGATGTGGCATACTTTGCGGCCTGGGTTGTGCCACTCTGCACCGTGGTCGTACTATGTTACTCAGAAGTGACTCGTCACGATCTGCATCAGTCACACCCCTCTCCAATGGAAGCCTCTGTTCCATATGCATATTTTGCGGGAATTGTGGTGCCTGTCGGTGATTTTGTCGGTCGTTACGCCTGCTGCAAGATAATATGCGATGGCTCACCCTGCACAAGGCATTAATTACATAATCTTTCACAATCAGGACAAAAGTGCAGACAAGAGCGAAAATCAAAACGTAAGATGTCGTGGACAGAGGGACAACAAAGAGATCAACAAATACAAAATATACACCAGCAATATTTTCTAAAATATCATCATATTTGTCCATAAGCAGTCTGTTGGTGTAGGCCCGTGCAGCCACCACCGAGTCTTTAACAATGGCGGTCTCTATCTGCCAGAAATGATGATCATCATCCCACTGGAGAAATGCGTCAACAGCCAGTGAAACAGCAGTCAGTGCCCCGGCCACCAAACCCACTGCTAAACAAACTACTTCAGTCATTGAATTAGATGCTGTTTTCAATGCGGTAATCAGCCAGCTCCCAGCTGAAGATGCAGCGATGTACTTCATAAGTTCAAACATCGTGGATTCAATTACAAGGACGACATAGGCCTATATCACGTTTGTGCAGTCCACATTGCATTTTCAATCTTCCGCTGTTATTATAGAGTGTTTCTGGTACAAGGCAGAAAAAAAATGTTGCTTTCATCACACCATCCTAAAGAAATAGGAAGAAACAATAGAAAATTCTTGAATAAACGAAAGGGAGTAGGCTGGGGAAATCTTACAAAAAAATAATAAATAAAATATGGTGAATCGATCATTCAACTTTTCTCATTTAATGACTCTGCTTTCCAGACGATATGGAGGCATTACCACAGTTAAATTACCTTGATAAAGAAGTTCCAGATGTCAGTGAATTACTGCAGCCCTGCACTCCACAGCCTGTGTCGGCTGTAAACTCCTACACACGATGGAACAAATTAACAGAAAACACCACAAATTTCCTGTAAGCAGTTATCAAGCTACAGCCAAAATAGTGTGGTAATCACCTCAACAAAATAGTTAATGAACAACCAGAGGCCGTTAAAGTTGTAAACAAAATGTCAAAGTCTAATCAAGTGGCAACCCGACTCTTCTGTATGTTTAGTCTGGTCATGTTGGTTCTATAGAATATTTCCCAGTGCACAGTAATAGTTCTCTTGACACACAATTGGGTTATGCCCTTCACCAACATTTATCTGATTTTTTTTTC